ACTCTCTCCGTATGTAGACCCAAGTGTTCTAAGAGAGATAAACACGAAGGCAACACAAACTAAAAAATAAAGTTGTTTTTAAAAAATAGTATGCATTGAGAGCAACCTCAAATGTATGAAAGTTTCAAAAAGAGCATGTTCAAAACTTTTATAAAGATCGAATCGCTTTAGTTTTCTGTTGTTTTACTGCGAACTGGGCTCCCAATTTGCACAAAAAAAAATCTGTACGATCTTAAATCAGCCAAGTTTCAGATGGATCGAGCACGACTATTAAAATTAAACATGTCAATGTAAAGTTGCCACAGTTTCGACTCGTTATCCTATCATAAATCACGAGCAAATCGGATCTAAAACACGTTCCATGGGTTCGAAAACACACCGTTCACGAAATTTCTCATGATTGTTTGCATTTTTTCGATATTTATTAGATTTGAGGCGTTGGGAAAGTATCTAATAAATTACGGATAAAATATGGATTCCAGCGCGTTTAAAAATAAAAGGTTTGTTATATCATCTTAGAGCGTGAAGAAGGGGGACTAAAAATAACTTAATTGGGAATTAAGCGGACTTAATGTGTGTATTTTTCGTTTTCAAAATGAACTATTTTTTCTCTTTGACTTAATAAATTTCTCGAATTTGAGTGTTTTAAAACTGTCTACCTAACTACGCAAATCTAGCCATAATTCTGTAATTCCTTGAATCGTTCCAATTGGACTACACAGTCGCTACAGAACACAATTTTGTGGATTTAATTTTTTTCAAATACGTTTTTATATTTCTTTTCTGTTTAAATGGTGTGTTTCCAAAATTTCAACCGCTTATTACAATTCCAATTTTCATGTAATTGTTGTATTTTCTTCTCTTCACTTTGGCTTATTGATGTTCGGCGGCTTCTTCATTTCGTTAACTGATATCCACTTTTCTAATTATTAATTTTAGTTATTTGTTAACCTGCTGATTTTATAAACGAATTTACCAAGAAATTTATTTCATTGGCTTTTTGTGAACTACTTGCAACTAAACTATTTTCTGCGCCAACTATTATTTCTAATTAATAAATAATTAATTAATAAACGTTTTAGCTAGTCAATTGCCAATAAAAAGTTAATTTGTTTTCAAAAATTTCAATTAAATGTTAGAGTTAAAATAATATTAACTTACTAAAAATTCCTCTTTGAAAAACTCCGGATGAACATTTTCTCCATAAATGTTCACAGCATGTGCATATAACTTAATTGACCATATATTAAAGGGCTTAAATTGTAAATCCATGTTCTCACATCTACTTTTGCGAGAAAAAACTCCTTGATGAAAATATGTTGAGCAGACATAATCCTTCGACAAGGTATCTTAACAAGCAATTTACTTATCTACTACAGCTTTTCTAGTTAATAACTTAGTTAATCTATGCTTACAAGGAAGCAAATGCAACTTTTGTATTGAGTCGTCCAATTACTTCATAATTATGGCATAAGTTTGTTAATTAGGCAAAAGATTATCTACTTCGGAACATTCGTGACCAGAGTATTTATTAGTTGATTTTTCAGTCAATAGAACTTAAGCAGTTTGTAAACTAACAGAGATGGATTTTAATTGCTGATTTTATGAAGTTTTTTCCAAACCGACTACACCAAGGGTAATAAAAAGCGGTGATTTAAATCGATTTTACTGAGTAAGTCAGCGAATCATGAAAGTCTTCGTGTAGATAAATACTTGCAAATGTATGTATTCATTGTACTGTATGTACACATTCATTGATTCAGTTCATGGAGAAACCGATTTGTACCTGTACGTTTTGGAGATATTATTAATCAGCAACTTAAACCTTTTAAGCCTTGCATTAAAAAATAATCTCAGCAATTTTTTACAAATATATCCGACCGCCTGACTAATATAGACCTAGCGAAATAGATTTTTTCAAGCCTGGCGCCACCATAAACCACATCAGCTCGAGTACGAACTACACGCATATCGGTACTAGTACTACCTGCATCTCTCATCTCTCATGCATCTCCAGCAAAGACTGTCGCGTTTATAAATTAGAGAGAATAAACGCGGCTTCGCATCAAATAGCAGCTTTATTTCTTCGAGCGTATTACAACGCGCGCCACACGCGCCTCGAGTTCTCCTGCAAATCCTGCGTTTTCCAAAAATTCAGTTTGCAAATTCGGAAAATTGTGATCGGTGTGTGAGTGGTAAACAGTGGATCAGCCTCATTGGAAGTCGATCTCGAAAATACTTTGCAGGAAAAGTGGGTCAAGTTTTTCTTTTTCAATATACTTTGCAAAATTTTCAAATTAGTCAACATGAAAGTGCAAAATTTGCCTCTGATAATTCTCATATAATTTCACGTTTTCCAAATTTTCAAAAAAATGCACAGAATTATGTGTGCAAATAATTAAAACACTTGATACTGGAGAAAAATCAATTATAATTTTCTACTTTTACCTCTAAGTTCAACTAGTTGATTTTATTTTAATCATGTTATAAATTCCGTCCGAATAGATTTTCCAATTCGCAACTGCATAATACTCAGAAAATCCTATCTACTTGTGCCAGTTCCAACTATTCATATACAACATTGTCATTTTAATAATTCCCATTTATATGTATTTTCAAAAATAGCCGAGAAAGATAAACAAAGTCGTAATATAATAAAACTAATGCGTAAAGTGTTAAAGATATGCGGACTGGTCCTCTTCATGAAAATGTGATTAATGACTGATGTAATTGGCCATTTCGACCTATTCTTATACAAATGATAATTTTTGTTGAAGGACTTAATTAAACAAACGAATTTGGATTTGTAGGAGCGGAAAGTTTAATAATAATGCCGAAATAATTTACAATGAAACATTTCTAGGTCAATCGCTAAAGTTATAAAACTGATTCAAACTGCCAGCAATAACGACCAAATTTAAAATGTTATCAATATTTTATTGATCTCTTCTGAAACTGTATCATGTTATTGAAAGTAGTTTTTCGTAAAATCTGAAAAGGAAATTTACTCAACAAAATTTATCGTAAAATTTTAATGGCCACAATCACAAACTACAAATGTTTTTCTTCCTTGTCTCATAAAAACAAAATATGCAAAATATATTTGCAAATTTCATTTGTTTCAAAAGTTAGAAGCATATTTTTTCATGGAAATGTGACCATTGATAGATTATTCCGGACTTATATTTCCTACAAAAAATATTTTTACGTTGAGGGACTTTATTACACAAATGAAGTAAATCTTTTTATCTTCTAAATAAATATAATAGTTATAAGACATCATCTTCCCTATTGAATTAAAATTTAATTCAAACTTTTAAGTTGCGTATTATTATTTATTTTTATCTAAGTTTTACTCAAGAATGATTGCTAAAATGCCAATTAAAACGAGAATATGGATTCTTTGATTTCCATTTTAACGGAGATTTAAGAAAAATTTAAACAGAAAAAGTTAGAAAATAGCTTCAAACTTCATGAAAACATTTTACGTTATATTTGATTGAGGTTTTCACAAACTGTCTCAATTCAATAAAATTTCTACGGATTTTATACTTGAAGTCACAGTAGGGGGTGATTATTTTCATACATTCCCACAAAACATGTGAAAGTATTTGACCTTTAATGTAGAAACGTAGTTTGCCTTGAATCGCCAAAAGTTTAAAGCGAAAATTGCCTCTTATTTTTTCAAGAAAATGTGTATTAAATATTATATGGTTCCTAGTTTAGAAATTCTGTTTTCACAAAGATGAAAGATAATTACTTGTTACAACATAAAGCAAAAAATCATGATCCGGCAAAAAATTATTGGCGACCAACAAGTTACGCATGTTTTTTTTTGTAAATGATAATTTGATTATTTCACTTCTCTTAATAATTTGATAAGCAGACTATATTAACAGTTACACCACTAAACATTTATTTAAATTTTTGTAAAAAAATACACTCGCTGAGGCAATGTAGGAAAACATATCTAATATTTAATTTGAAATCCTTGTAAATAAAATGTCTTGTACAACTTAACTTTCCATTATGCAGATATAAAAAGGATGATAATGGCTCATAAAATCCATTTTACAGTTCCAGCTCTCATTTTAATGTTATTTACCATAATCGCAATACTTGCTTTGCTCAAATTAGCTCTAATCTGTATATTTCGAGTATTTTCTATTTAGGTATGCCGTAAACAAGGCGCGTTCAAACTTGAACTTCAATTAAAATTACAATTCGTAATGTTACTGATCTAGTGTGATTAAATATCAGATTTGCAGACGTACCTGCCTACTATTTCGACGCTGTTGACCCACGCATAAATTAACCACTTGGCTTAGAAGCAAATAGTAGATAATTATTTTTTTCTTAAATTCCTATACCATGCGTAAGCCAAAGTTCAATATGTCCAACCATTATTATTTTCGACTAAATTATTCATGAAGGACGATTGTGGATCTCAGAAAATGAATAGATGCCAATCGATGGTTGTAAAAAAGCAGTATTTCATCATGTGGCTTGAAAATAATGTGTACCAATAAGACCATAAATTGGCGACTCGACTGGGAGTTATTTTAGCGCATCTTAAAAATGCATAATTTTTAGATTGACAATCTTAACATATTTTAATAACTTCCAAATACAAATAAATGAGCAAAAAATTATTAAATTAATTCAATATTTCCAGATTTGTTTCCTTCTAGTACAGCAACAGCCCATAAAATTTATTTAATGGGTGAATATAACACCAAATGGCATATTTATTTAACTCATTTGAATAATACTCTTTAGCGCGTCGTAAATTTTCAACGGTATTAAAACATATTTTTAAGACGTGCGCTACAGGTGCGTGGAACTGATATTTACTGCTGAAAATGGTTGTAATTTAATTAACATGTTTCTGGCTCGTTATGTTAGACGATTTAATCGTTTTAAATGAAAACTTTGGATTTAATTGAGGGGAAATGAGAGGAAATGAATTTAAAAAATTCTGACTAATTTATTAAATGGAATTTGATAGTATAGTCTTTTGCGTTTATTTTATCAACACATCAACCACAAACAACTTCATTCAGGTATTGCGGTTTTTCTAACGTAATTTTCTCCAGAAGGCAAAGCCACTATCGTTATACAAGGGAAACTGGCTTTACACTCTTCAGGCGACACGGAAGGTTGCACCATTACCTCATCCCCCTTCTAGAATAAAATAAATTTCTAAATACTTGTGTCTTTGTTAAAATATCGCGGACAAATGTAAATTTAATTAATAACGCTTGACGTGAAAACTTCTCTCAATAAAATATTTCTAACGCTGGCGGTCAAATTGAGGTATAATCCAAACATTTTTTTTTTAATGTAGCGTTCTTTAGCCATAAGTCTAATTAAAAAGTTATATAGAACTTACTTGCCAATCTGCTGGGGTAGCTACTTTATATTTATCACATAGTTGCAAGGAGTCCAATACTCTGAGGATTTCACTGGAAAAAGAGTTTATTTACTGAAATTTAAAAGACTGTGGGGTAGAAGGTCGAAGGAATTTAAATCAATTCACTAAAATGATATAAAGTAAGTTTCCTACTCAAAATTTCTTCCAGTCGTAGCAGGATATAATAGGGATAGTCTCATCTTCTTCTTAGGGTCGATAATAAAAACTGCTCTAGCAGTTAGAGGTAACCCATCAGCGTTCTTTTCATCAGGGTCAATCATTTGCAGATCGACTGCAATTTCCCTGTCCTCATCCGCAATAATCGGGTACGGAAATTCTCGATCATCAGAATGAGCATATGCTCTGATGTCTGTGGTCCACTTCAAATGGGACTCGACTGAGTCGCAAGACAAAGCAATAACTTTGCAGTTTCTTTTGGCGAATTCGTCTTTTAGCTGTACAACTCGTGCCAGTTCTGTAGTGCACACCGGCGTAAAATCTGCTGGATGAGAAAACAGAATGCCCCATCTGAAAGAGCATCGTGTAACCAGTTTAAGGGATGTGAATTTGGGGCGTCAGGCAGAGCTGCTCAAACACGCGAACTTACGAATCTTGAAACCAGTCGTGAAGCTTCAGGTCTCCATACGTGGTTTTAACAGCAAAGTTTGGGAATGTATCGCCTAATTTAATACTCATTTTTTAAATGCGTTCAGTAGGTAAAACACAAATTCACAAACAATTACATTCAGCGTCGAAACCGGCTTTGACTGAAATGAGGTTACGGCAGTTTACGCGAGTCTGAGGTTATGGGATTTTCAGTTTCTCAAATACGTTCCGTAATTGGTTGCCAATATCATGTGTGCTGCTGCACAAGGTGCAGTTATTTTAAATTGGAGATAGGCGGGGCGGCGTTGGAAATATAATTAAATATACACTATGTTCTTCAACAAATTTGCCAAGACAAATGTATATTTGTTAAAACATTAGCTATTTGTTCAAGTAATTTAGCACAATCGTAAAACATTTCTTTTAAATTTATAGGGTGTTTTCAGTCTTGTAATCTTGTTATCAAATTGTGTTGAATGGAAAAAGAAGTGGAAGACTAAAAATTTTTAATTTAAATAAATTACCGGTTCGGAATTTTAAATGTACAAGGTGATCGTTAAAAAATTGTCTTAATGTCTGCTTCCATTTTTAGAAAAAACTGTTGCAATTGTATGAATTTTGTTTATAAAAGACAACTTTGCATAAAAATTAATTTGAATAATATACCTGTTAAAAGCATTCACACTGCATCATTTCAAAAACACAAAATAATACATTTCTGCAAAACGGTTTTATAAAGTTCAAGAAAACTTTGTGGGTAGTGAACGCTGTGAGGTGTTTATTTTCGCTTATTTTATTTTTAAAAATTTTTCCAGTGGCGTGCATACAGCATATTATAGGAAATTTTTGAGAAAACAGAATGCAAGCTACAGTTTTTCTGATGAATAATAGACTGAAGAAAAACGCATTCTTTTTCTGTGTCTGTTATAAATGTAGGTAATTCTTGACTCTTGAACTGTTCAATTCTTTGTTTTACCATTGCTTCATTATGTTTTTCTCATTGGCGCATAATGTGAAATTTCATCATCAAACGGCCGGAAAACGGTTGGAATTTTACATTCACAATTTAACAATCAAGTAAGATGTATTTTTTATTCTTCAAAAAACCCAGTGGCGTATGATTTTTTTCTTCAAAAATATCCAATAACATAGCGGTATCCACGCCACTAGTAAATATTTAAAAACATCAAATTATTTCAAATAAGCATCTCGAGTCTTCAGTACCCACAAAATTTCCTAATCATTTATCAAACTATTCTGCAGAAAACATTTTTTTTGTAGTTAGGTTTGACGCCCTGTATTTCGAAATTAAAGGTTTTGCAAACCCATTTATTTATTTATGCCTTAAATTACGTTATTTTTTTCTGAGACACCCTGAATCTCCCAACAGCGAGCGAATGGAAATACACAATGTCTATTGAGGAAGAAAACATTTACAGATTTTAATGAGAGGCTCCCACAGACGCATTTTAGGAACATGGCAAAGAGCATGTTACAAAATCTAAAATTTAGGCATTCTGTTAAAATTTTAAGTCACAAATTTGAAAATGAAACACGCTGTTTTGCTTTGCTTTGCTTAATAACAAATCTGAATAGAACCAAATTCTGCACTTTGCTCCGATTTTTTCCTTCGATGATTCCGCACAAAGTGGATTAATTGAACACATTTTTCCAATGGTGCATTCTAATAATTATGCAGTTACCTAAACTTTTTTAATTTCCGCTGGTTTTTATGAAAATCGAATTTTTATAACTAAATGGGTGAGGATCTCAGCAAGTAAAGATTGTATCTCATTATACACATTACCATTTTATCCAGCGAAAATCCAATTAAAATTCTCTTTCCGTCACCTTTTCTTCTTTTAAATAAAAAATCGATTTCATTCATTGACCCACAACGATTTTGGCAAGTGGGCGCATCTCCTCCCAAGAGAGAAAAATCAGCTTTCATCGAAAGTCATTCGGGTTTTAAGCGGGCTGGAGTAAATCACGGCCACATAAAAGAAATCTATCAATCAAGCTGATGTTTGCGTTATTAATCTTGATGGAGAATCCCAGTTATTTGAGCCAGATTTCGATTCGTATCGGTGACTTGGCATCCTAATTTTAAACACATTATTCAAGATGGTACGCATTATGTGATCGAATTATCCGACGAGATCCAAAACCGTTTTTTATATATTAAAGTCCCTTTAATGGTACTTGGTACGTTGTTAATTGATACAAATATTTAAATTTTTAGAGCGAGTCATTTATTCTTGTTATATAAGATATTATATTCTGCAAACTTTGCCAACAGTTTCCGACCGCGTTTGATAATTCACTAATGAAATAGATGAAGGTTTTTCAGGAGTTGCTTAAGTATATGTGCCTATGAAATTTTTACATTTTAGTAGATATTGATACCAGTATTAAGGCAAAAAAAAAATAAAATAAAGACGAAAATTTCCGCTTAAAGATATATTAGGTTTTAAATTAAATAATAAAACTTAATACCTAATTAGTAGAGTATTTGAATTTATAAAATTAGTTACCTAAAATGTGTTTAATTTATAAAAATTTAGCCCAAATAAGACGGCAACAACTTTCGAACTGTCTGTACGTTTAATTTAAACAAACTCGCCCAAAATTAATTTGAGTAGCGCATTTTTTATGCAATGTCGATTCAAACATGCCTAAAACATTTTTTCTGTGTGAAAAAAATAATCAGAATAACTGTCTTTACATGAAAAATTTTTTAGTAAAATTATATTAAAATATTCTTAAACTTGTGATTTGGTTTTGCCGGTTTTATTAATTAAAATTATTTCAGTCGACATTTCTTCACAGAGCAATAGACTCATGTGGGTCCAGGCGAAATAGTCTTTTCCCCAATGTATTGGGGAAGAAATCTAGGGACCTCATAGAACATTTTATACGAATTTAAAACTGAATGGTAAAGTTAAGACTCAGATGTTTTAATTCAAATTGAGATTATATTGCGATCTAAACACTTAAAAATTCTCAATTTATTTTTAATCAATTTGCTAGAGCCGCATATCTTGCTAGTGCGTCTAATCAAATGACTGGAGTTTGCTAATAACAAAACTAGGCATCTTTTACAATAGTTCCGATATTTCCTGAAATTTCACACTAATTTAGAGATAATAATTTGGATCAACTCATTTCAACTCAATCAAAACATTGAAAAAACGCATAACTATCCAAGTTACGTGCATTTATATTAGCTAGAAAATATCTGTCTACACATTTTGCACTTCAACTATGTGTTTCAAACTACGAAGTATTTAACCACTGGTATAGACAATCATCTAGCTAGGAACAAGATGCTAAGTAATCAGATACTTGCAAATACCAAATATCAATCAAAATGTGAAATATTAAGTGAGTGATTGATGATAGTAAGTGAGTGGTTTTGCTTCCAAGTTTTAGCATACCAGCTTTAACAATATTCATAAATTATCGTTTTTTGAATAAATCTTACCAATTGGCCAGAGTAAATGTTAAGGAAATCGCAACTTGCTTATGTATGTTTTTTGCACAGTTTAAACAGTTATTAACTGATGTAAACATTTTAAGAGGTTTAAAGAAAAAAACTATTGTTGTATAAAAAGGTTATATCACAAACCGAAAGAGTGTATAACATGGAATTGGAAATGTTATGAAAACTCAACTGTTAGTAGGGCATCGAATTAAAAATGTACACCCTCTATCTTCATTTTAAACATAAATTTACTTCCATTAGTTCCGCACTCATTTTCTGGGCTCTTTAATGGAATATATGTCTAATGTCTGCTAAGTGTTGTTTAATTAATTTATCAAAATCCTTTTTAAAGTTGGCTGAATTTTCACACATTTGGCACATTTTATCGAAGTATATGTTGAGTAACAAAGTTTGTCAACGCATTTACTTAACACACCATGGGGTCATCAATGTGGCGCCAATAATTTACAATTTACGCGCAGTAAACCTGTCTTGTCTGTTGAAAAATGAATTGTTCAATAATAACTGAAAAAATCACGCTTGATTATCGCACACGAATGCGCCCTATTTCGTAACTGCACATCGATCATAAATCATCTTTTTTATGGCTGCTAATTTTATATCACCCCCATAAAATCGATAGATTGCCGAGTAATTATTGCTAGAAACGATTACTGCTCTTAAAAGCAATGTTATGTCGTTTAAAAGCCGCGCCATTAGCTAATTTTCTGATCTTTGTTTATAAATTCTGTGGTATGTAGGAGCTTTTTATTAGGATAAAAGTTGAATTTCTGTTAACTAACTTATGAAATCAGCAATTAAATACGTAGCAAAATCATGGACCTGGTTGGAACAGTTTGTTAATTTCAATTATATTTGAAGTCCAAATAATGTGCCTTTAAATTGATTCAACTGCGATATTTAATAAACATTAACTATGCGGAAAATTGGAAAATTCTAATTCAACTCAGTAATTAGGCAGTTTGTAAATGGAATGTGAAAACGTATTTGCTTCGCATTTTTGCCGGTTCATGTTGACAACGTTAAACAAATATGTTAAATAAAAATATGTTAGAAGAGTAGCAGCGTATGAAGCGAGAATATTTATCATTTTGTCGTTTTGTAAAAAAACACTATTTGATGCAAAATCAAACAAAATGACGAAATTAACAGAAACCAGCAAGACTAACATTTCAATGATGATTAGCTACGGAGCGATATCTCAAATTTTGAACACGCTGTATTAAATTTTCTTACATCAGTAAAGGTATTTATTTACTTAATTTAGAAACTTCCATATTATTTTGGTGTCTGGCCGAAAATGTAACATGAAGAGTTTTTTCTTCGTCAGATAATTATAACATGAAAAATATTTTTCTCGGCGCAGCGGACCAATAATTTTTCTTTTTCCAAAAATCCCTTTATCTCAAGTTTCAAGCAGAATAAAGTCAAATCCGTTTGATTGCGTGGTGCCGAATCACTAATTTTGGTTTCAGTAAAGAACTATATTCAAAACATACAAGATGGGTAAAAAGCAGATATCTAAAAAGTGGTTTTGCGCGAATACATAATTTTCACCCTAGAAACTCAAGATCTGAGCATTGGGTTGAAGATACACATAATGTGTATTTATTTTTACACAAATTGATGCTTTTCAGTTGAATTTGTCAGAGAACATATTTCCTCAAATTATTTGACTGCCGTAGTGTTTTGTAACATAAAA